GAATTGAGTTGTTGTATTTTAGGTGCAGTACAAGTAGAGTTAGCTTATATCGTCAGTGGACCACACCTTAACATGAGGTGTTAGTATTGGTTATATGCACATAGTTTTTGAAGCTGTTCGTCTCCTAAGCAACTAAGCTAATAGCATTGAAACAGCTAAATTATATATCAAAATTTTATTTTATTCGAATATGCATCTTTTATAGTGCTAACAAATTATTGTTTTTTTGTTTTTTTTTGTGCACCATAACTTGTCAAACGTTTTATTTGATAATTTTGAATCAGATGTACATGCCCAACGTTTAAAAAAAAATTATATATAAAAAAAGTAATTATGCAGTTTTTATTTTGTAAAAGGTAAAAAGTTGACTTTACCGTTAAGGTTGTTCCTATTATATGAAAGCAAAAAAAAATATCTTATTTTTTTTTTTTGAAAGTCATACATGTGTGTAGATTCAGCCTAGTTTTGTTTGCTATTTTACCCTGTGCAAAATATTTTTTAAAAGAAAAACTTTTTGAGAACTATTATCATAGGAATTCATGTTAAACAATTATTTCATAAAAATTAAATGGTATTTGTCAGAATTTCCAAATAATAACATTCTTTGGTTTGGTAAAGTAAATAGGAAAGAGGTCTTAAATTTTGTGGACAAATCTTACTTATGAATTTTTATAACTATTCTCTGTATAGAAAAAGAAGAAGAAAAAAGACAAGAAACATAGGTCATCTTCCTCCTCCTCCTCCTCATCATCATCTTCTTCTTCTTCTTCATCCTCATCCTCCTCTTCCTCACCAAAATCCTATAGAAAAGATAAAAAGAAAAAGCAAAAAAAACACAAAATAAAGGGGGACAAAGTCAAAATGGTTCATGCTGTTCCACTCATGTCTTCACCATCACAATACACTGTCACTTCATCTGGTGGCTCTCCATATACCGGTGCTGTTGCCGGGCAACCAGCTATGTACCCTTACTCCCATGATGTCTATGGTGGTGGAGGAGTGACCGCTAGTGGCTATACATCATATATTCAACAGGTACCACAGCCTTGAGTATTCAGTCTGTATTTCATGCAAACATTTTTTTTATTTGAATGTGTGCTTGGACAGTTTTTTTTTGTCCTATTCCATCTATCTAATTTTCATTTGTTCTTATAAACGCAAACCCAACAGATGTGATGTAAAGAGCAACCAGCCTGAAACAAATTTGCCTAGCTCCACTAGAATCTAGTTAATTTGCCTAACTTTTTTGATATTGCCTAACTTCACTCTAATCACCACTTAATTTGACCTGTTAGTTTGGCATGTCCTACTCTGCATACTAACAGAAACTAGAGGTTGCTATGTTCTTATCTCGTTGCCACTCTTTACATCTTTCTTTCAGTGTTTACACTTCTACGACACACAATTTAACTGATTTTGAAATATAATCTGTATTTCTCAGAAATAAAGAACAAAAATTCGTTTAACATATCAAAATTTCCCACCTGCTGTTATTTTGTCATTATTTGCATACACTGATTTTACTTTCAGTACATGTATTTTTCAATTTGTAAAACTTAAATTTGAAGAATATATTGAATTCATTTTAAAATAAAATAAAAAAGTACAATTTCTTATAAATTGTCAAGAATAAATTTTATTTAATATTTTTAATAGCGAGATAGTATTTTAATGAACTAAACTTGTGGAGGTCAACACTGATTTATTTGTGGGTGTAACAGTAATGGTGCTCTTTTCTTTTTATCCTAATATTAACACCTTTCATTTAATAATCCATATTTAAGTCCAGGCACACATTCTTTTTTTTTCTCTGCTAGCCCAAATAATTTTTTTTTGTTTTTGTTTTTTTAAATTATTGATATACATTTTTTGGCTGTACTTTTAAAAAAAACTGATTGTATTACAAGTTTGCAATTTTAGGCTTGCAGAATGCATGAAATGTGTGTCTGGATATTCACATGATTGTGGTATAGTTTAGAAATTCTTCTTGTACTTTTATTTTATTTGTATAGATTTATGGGTGTGGGAGTTGGCAGGCATGTGTTAACACATTTGTACTGACTCACAGAAGTGGCTGTCACATTATTGTGACTCAGCTCACTGAGGTCTAAGCATATTGCTTTATAATACAGTGTTATTGAATGATGACAATATCATTAGTGCTGATACAAGTGAAATAAAAGTAACAGAAAATTAGTTTCATGTTTTAATCATGTGATGCTAAAGTAAAAACAATAGTTATGAGTATTTTTGTAAAGTGAGGGCAGTATTTAAAAAGATTCTTATGTTCAATATGAGTGCCTCAATATTAGTATTTTGATAGAGGGCAGTATTCAAGTTGTCACATTACTATGTATAAACAGTCTAAAAAACCAACTTCATATATCTTTTGTACAATAATGAAATATCGCTAAAATATGTTGATGTGATCTTTAAAAGATACCCCTGTCTTTTCTGTAATTACAATTATTCTTTCCAAGTCATATACGGTTTATTTGCATCATGTGTGGTACAACATATTCTGAGTATATTTCTTTCACTGCAGTGATATGATGATTATTAATGTGTTCCATGTTTTGAAAGGAAACAGCAGATATCTCTAACTGATAGGAATGCATTTACACATATTTGCGCTATTAGATGCATGTGTGCAATATATGCACATGTAAACCAATATGTGCTTGTATCATAAGTTGAATCATTAAAATATAGCTTATATTGCCCATAGACACACCTCTATCAGTTACACACTAGTCAGGGAATGTTTTACTATTAGAGCAAATACATGATTACTTGGA